TAGTCCTCATTGACGGGAGCCTTCTCCTAACCCTGCACTAGACTCGGCCTCTCTGCAACTTCCAGCCCTTGGTTCCAGGCAGCGAAAAGTTTAAAACTACCTCGCGGTGGGCGGTGGAAGGGGTGTTGCAAACAGTCTCCAAGCAGGGCGCTCTGTGGTGGTCATGGCTGTTTTTAAGGAGACAGGAATTCCTGCCGGAGGTCAGCTGCAGAAATCGCGCACACGCACCCACAAGCCTAAGAGGCAGGAGCAAGCCACTGGATCCCAGTGTCCCTGCAGCTCCTGGCTTGCACGTTCATCGTGAAATATTATCACCACTAGTTGCTGCTGTGAAAGGTGGCTTTGCAAGAAACGAGCTGATCCAGCAGCACAGCCCAGTGCGTATTTTGGTCCGGAAAAAGTCCTGGTTGCAGCACAACTTGGCCCCCCTGCTTGGAGGGATGCTGGACAGTGCAAGCGCTTTAGAAACAGAAACAGAGAAGCAGAGCAAGTCAGGAGGGGCCTCCTGGGCCATCTAGTCTGACCCCTGGCTCCAGCTGGCTCCGCTCACGACATGCCCACCATGTGGACGTCCAGCCTGTCCTTGAACACCCGCACCGATGGGGCCTCAACCACCTCCCGTGGAAGCCCATTCCACCCCTCGGGGTCCTGACTGTCAGGAAGTGCTTCCTGGCACCCAAACTGAACCTGGGCTCCCTGAGCTTGGCTCCGTTGGAGCGCATCCTGCCTTCCTCTGCAGGGGAGAACAGGTCTCTACCCACCTCCATGTGATATCTCCTCATGTACCTGCATGTCGCCAACGGATCCCCTCAGAGTCTCCTCCTCTCCAGGCTGAAGAGGCCCAGTTCCCTCAGTCTCGCCTCATACGGCCTCCCCTGCAAACTGGCCTCCATCCTGGCTTTAGAGAGAGACGAACGAAGAAGAACACGTGGTCACTCAGCCTCCACATTCGGCAGGCTGCTGGCTGCTCCTCGCCGTGCAGAGTGAGGTAATCATGAGCTCAGCTGCCCTGGACTGAACTCATTCTGACAGCTTTGGGTTTGCGTGGAGGCTCAGCAGCCCCGTCTATGTGGCCGTATCACACACAGCACGGCACCCATGCCAGCCCCCCCCCCCCATTTTCCAGGGGTGATTTCTGGGCTTGTGGGCTGCAGAGTTCTACAGTCAACTTCTGCTTTGGTTTTAGTGGCGTGAAAAACCCATCACTGAAATCTGATTCCATTTATATTCCAGCCTTGAGTAGCATATTTCTCCGGAAAATCCATCTGCCTTCTGTTTTGGCATATTGACAGCTGCTTGCTGTACTTTAGAGTTCTGGGTTGGGTTTGGTTGGCACGTGTGCATGCATAGAAACGTATGTTTGTCTCTCAGCCGTGGTGACACCCTGAATTTTGTGGTTTCGACTCCATCGACTGTGTGTCATCAGCCTAAATTGGGTTTCACTTTTGAATGAAGACAGCCAGATACAATGCCTTTAAATTCCATGAACATGGAGACCTATTGCATAAAGGTCAAAAGACTGCAAGAGCATGGGAAGACATGGGAGTCATCGCGGGAAGCAGGAATGTTCCAGCAAAAGGCACATTTCTCAATTTTCTGCCATTACTTCAAGATCAGGAAGCCTCGATATTCACCCGCCTCCTCTGCTCTGGGGTCTGGTCTGTCTGTCTGTCTGTCGTAATTTGGGACTCAAGTGTATTTGTTCTTGGCATTTCTCTCCACAGGAGGGCTGAAATTAGAAAGCAAGCAAATGAGCGACGAGATTTTAATTGCAATTATTTCCCATTCTTCAGCCTTCTGCTTCATTTGGATGAAATGAGAGGGGAATTCTTACGAAGGGGAGGAAGTAAAAGATAACCCACAGGAAATAAGGAACTGGTCCAGTTATAGCATTAAGGGTGGGCGATTAAATTCAGCGAGGAAGGTCTTTTGTATCTGCTCTGTCCAGAAGGGCTTGAGCTCGAGGAATTGTGTGCTCGAGAAGACGAAGACGTGCCTCAGGGGGCAGCTGCGCACGGTCCCGGGGGCTGCTGGCTGTAGCCCAGCTGCTGAGCCCTTCCGACCACCGGTGGGCAGGCACTCCTCACGGTCTCAAGAAAAGGTCTTTTCTGCCAAATCACCAAGGCTCCCCTGGGGGGTCTCCGTGCCCCTCAGTCTCCCTCTTCACGGGGTTCAGGCCCCCAACTTCAAGCTGCCGCTCCCTGCAGCTGCCCTGCGTGGAGTCGCGAGCTGCCCTGGGAACGGTCCCATGGGGCTCCACACAGGAAAAGTCCTACACTCCCCAGCATCCCCAGCCTGCAATGCAGGACTTTCTTCTGTCTAAAATTGCACAAGATTGCAGCCTGATGAATAAGCACAAGTCCCAAATGGGGTCAGAGAGGAATTGATCATCTGGCGAGGACTCATGAAACAACCCCACCCTTGTGCCACTTCCAGGCACCCTTCCGCACAGGACTGAGCTTGCAAAGGTCCAGCTCCGAGTTGCCTGCACCTTCCAGTCATCAGGCAGCCCTTTTGCACTATGGGACGCCCCCCAATTCACTTTCGCAGTCCGTGAAGTCCTGGCTTTGAAAGGAGGCCTCCAGCCGCATGATGAACTTGGGCCACCCTTCTGGCCTCTACTTTTTCTCCTGCCCATTTTTTGGGGTCGTGAGCTTGTCCTGGATTTGGAGCAGTTTTATTCAGGCATCCCCTTCACTTCCTCTGCTTTTTGTTTTAAAGCTCCCTTGATTTTCTTTGGTGAGAGGGCAGATGCCAAATCCTTGATTATTCGTAATACACTAATTCCGCCACCGAATGTTGCTATCCAGATTTGATCTGGAGACACTGTAAACAAACAAACAAACAGGATCCTTGTTGAACGGTTTCTGAGTCAATCATGGGAACTCATCGTTTGCCAGGCCCAATGTCTGGGGGGTTTGAAAAACCCCCAATTTCAACCAGAGCTCCCCTACCCCAGAACTAGGAGTTAGGAGACCGCGTCCGCGATTCCCTCGCACACGCGTCTAATTTCCGCTGAAGCCGGGCACGGGGCGAGGAGACGCTGCTCCTCCGCTGCTCTTCTCGCCAGCAGACGAGCTCGTCTTCCCCACCACCAAAGCCAACAGGGATCTCTTGAGAAGCGAGGAGGAGAAGCCGCAGCCGCTGCTCGCCCGGGAAGCAGGAGCAGGCGACTCGGGCGCTGCCAGTCGCACCTCCCGCGGCAACCCGGGGACAAGCGCGGGTCCGGGGGGCTTCCGCTCAGCACGGCTGCTCGCACCAGGGACGCCCTCTCGCCGGATCGGGCCCGCGCCCATTAGCAGGCCGGGGGGGGGGGCGTGCGCGTCGCGCGAGCTGCGTCTCCGGCCAGGCCTTCCCGAGGCGGCCTTCGCGGGGCTCCTGCGCCCAGCCGAGTCCACCGGGGCGTGGGGCTCGCCCCGGGCCCGAGAGGAGGGGAGGCTCCCCCGCACTGGGGCGCTTCGGGCCAGCGGGGGCTTCCGGCTCCAGAAGGCCGGGAAAGCGCCGCGGGGACTCCGGGGATGGGGCGTGTTTGGGGACCAGCGCTCCGGCGCCGAACGACGGTCTTGTTCGGAGTACGGCCCCACTGTTCCTAGACAGCGCTGGCTGGGCATGATGGGAGCGGTAGTCCAACGCATCCGGTGGACGCCGGCTGGCGAAGGCCGTCTGTCGTGCGGCCGCGCGCCCGGGGCTGCCCGGTTGCCAAAGCCCCGCGCCCTGCGGCCCCGCTTTGGAGTTCAGGGCGCCGGGACGCGCCTGCAGGCAGCGGCCCCCTCGGCACCTTCGGCGCGGGAGCCGCGTGGGGGCTTCCCGCTGCCCTCTGGGCGAAGGCGGCTCGCCAGCGCAGGAGAGGCACTCTGCACGTGGGCAGAGGGGCCCCGGGGGAACTGCCGGGGTCTCGCACCGCCTCCCCGGCCTCTTTCGGGCGGCGCGCTACAGGTCGCTCGGCGAAGGGCTGCGCTTGGCGCTCCCCGCGCGGCGACGAGGCGGACGGGCCAGCCCGGCTGGGGCCGCGGGGGGGCGGGGCGCCCCGTGCAGGGCGCGTCACCGGCGGCCCCCTCCAATCAGCGCGCCCGCGGGCGGAGCCGGATCCGGCGCGGGGAAACGGGAGAGGGCGGCCAGCCCGAGCCGGGCAGCTCCCGCAGCGCGGCCGGGGCGGGCTGCAGTCGCGCGGGGCGGCCGGTTCGGTGCCAGCCGGGCGCGCGTCGGGCAGCGGCGGCTGGCGCCCAGCCGAAGGGAGCGCCGAGCGGGCGCCTCCTGCGGGCAGGGGGCGGCTCCGGGCGCTCCGCCCGCCTCGCTCCGCCTTCGCCGGAGCCCCGCGCGGAGCCCGAGTGCGCCGGCCCTGCGGTGGGAGCCGCTGGCCGCCCGACGCGGGTGCGGGCGCCGCCGTCCCCCTCCGGGTTGATGGACGGTGAGTAACGCGCTCCGGCGCCGCGGAGGTGGGCGGTGCGGCGGGAGGCGCTGCCGGGCCCGGGCCCGCCCCTGGAACTTTCCGGGCCGGAGTCGTTCCGCGGCGCCGTCCCCGCTCGGCGGCCCCCAGGCGTGCCGGGCGCCTCCCCTCTCCCCGGCGGCGCCTCTGCGGCCGGCAGGGGCGGGTCCCGCGCACCTTCCTCTCCCCAGGCGGGCCGCGCCGCGCCCCGCCCCGCCCGGCCGGGACTTGGGGCCGGCGGCGGGCTTCCCTAGGAAGTGCGCCCAAGCGCGCTGCCGAGGCGCGGGGCGGTCGGAATTGACGGCGGGTGGGAAGGGGGCGGGAAGGGGCCGTGCCGTCCCCGCGCCTCTCTCGCTTTCGCGGGACGCAGTCCGCGGCTCGGCGAGCGTCCGCACCGGCCAGCCGCGGGTGTCAGGAAGAGGGAGAGCCACGCGCGGGGAGAGCAGGCGCTCGGCCGGCCGGCGCGCTGCCCCTGCGGCCCGCAGCCCTCCCGATGCTGGCCCTCCCGATGCTGGCCCGCCGCGAGCGTGGCCCGCCGGCGGCCTCCCTGCCCGGGCACCCGAGAAGCCGTTGCGCCCGCGCGCCGCGCTGCCACGGACGTGTCGCGCCAGGAGGCATAACTTCCCGGGCACTGGCTTCCCCGCAGAGCGGAACTGCAGGACCCCCGAAGGAAGCGGCCCCGGGGCTGGAGGCGACCGCGGTACCCTCGCGCCCGGCTCTCGAACATTCCTGCCCGCAGCCGTCCCGACAACAGCCCTGTAAGGTAGGCGCGCGCTCCTCGCTTCCGCTTGAGCCGGGGACACGCCTCCGAGAGGCGCGGGAAGGACTGGCCCGCCGAGCGCAGCCCTGCGCGGTCTGGCCCCGGTGGCCCTGCCGAGGCGGCTCCGTTCCTGCTCCCCGCTGGGAGCCCCGGGCCAGTGCCGCTGCATGGCGCCCCAGGCTCTCCACTGCCAGAGGGAGCCAGCTGGTGCCTCCGGGCCGGGCTCGGTGCTCCCGTGGTCTGCTGCTGCGGGGGGGGGGGGGCAGAGCACCCCATGCCTCATGGGCCCGGGCCCGACCCAAGCCCTCTGGTGGAAAGGAGGCCGCCCTTCGTGGTCTGAGCGCCTGCAGATGCTTGGAGTGGCGCTTGCTGGCTGCAAGGCCGGCCGTCTGGCGCCGCGCTGCTTTGCTGCGTATGCAGAGCCCGGCTGTGCGTTATATTTTGTCCCCCCTCTGTAAGGAGCTTGGGTGGCTGCTTTCCAATCTCATCCTCGCCAGGACCCTGGGAGGGAAGTGAGGCCGAGCGCCAGGGGCTGGCCAGATACACCCGGGGGGCAGCGTGGCTCAGTGGGGACTGGCACCCGGGGGTCCCGAGCCCCAGCCCATCACTCCAGCGGTGGTCTCACATGTTCAGGCAGAGGCAGGCACTCTGCTGTTTGCCGTTTGCGCGCACCGATTGGCTCGTTTGTAATTTCTGTGGCTCCCCTTCAAGGGGTCCCCTGGTGTCCATAAGTCATGAGGGGGGGGCCTGCCTCATCCTGCCGGAAGCCGAGAGCTGCTCAGTCACGGCGCTTGATCCCAAGGGGGGCCTGGAGCAGCCCTTTCTCCGAATAGCTCGGCCCTCCCCTGTCGCCGGGCATTTTCTGGCCCCTCTGAGCTCTCACGACCGACCGACCGTGTGCTTGAAAAGCGTGTGCGCTGTGAGTTCTGCTTGGCACCTGTTTCCTCAGTCCCGCACTTTAGTTTTTCTAATGGTGCTTTAATAGTTTGCTGATCTCCATGCAGATTTATCTTATGCACATTTTAGCTGAAAGGGGCTCTGGCCAGGTTTGGGAATAGTCACGTGGCTGTTCCCTCCTTGGCTGTGGCAGACGTGACGGCAGCGCCTTGAAATTAAAACTGCACCCAAGAATGGGGCAGGCGGAACCGGGTGGGGAAGGGGCCCTTCTGCTTTGTTGGGGTAAAGCGGAACGTGCCAGTGAGCAAGCAAGAGGAGCTCCCCTTCCACTGGGATGCCCATCCGCCTGGTTTGCCTCTCCGTTTTCCTCCTGTGCCAGGTTCAGTTACACCCCTAAGATGTATTTATTTATTTAAGGCATTGATAAACCAGTTAGTTAGCAACAGCTCTCAGAATATGAACTATTAAAAAAAATCTAACAACATGATCTACATAGACTATCTCACAAGGCAGTTAACTTCACTGGGGCACATCATTCACCAAGAGCAATAAATAGTGATAACAATATGTAATACAAGAATAAAACCACAGCAGAGAATACCAGTGGCATATAAATAAAATCAGTATAAAACCAATCATGTTATCACTATCATTAACTTTATAGCATTCGAGCATTAATTAACAATCAAAATGCCAGGAACATAAAAGGGGTTTGCCCCGGTGCCAAAATATAAGATGCGGGTTTTTGTTCCCTTCTTTTTCCCGCCTCACAGTTCCTGGCCCGCACTTTTGGGTATCCCCTCGCAGGCAGGGTGTGCGCCGCTTCAGACTTCGGTACGCTGCCACGCCATGGCAGGCTCTTCTTAAACAAGCGCAAGGGTGCAGCTCTGGCAGGAGAGCGGGGTGGCTTTTCCCAGGAAGGATGAGTCAATGAGACGAGGAGGCTTGCCGAGAAGCAGCTCATCAGGAACCAGTTCTGCTCCTTCCGCAGGCCGGGCATTTCCCTGTGGGCCCCAGAGGTGGCGTAGCGCAGGCTGCAGCCGTTGCCCCGAGGAAGGACCTCGCCTTCACTGGGGGGGGGGGGTCTTGAGCCCTTTGGGGGCCTGGGAGGATCCCGGAGCTGGAGGGAGCCGCTCAGCCTGTGGAGACCCAAGCTCTGCTCAGTGCACGAGCCCCATTTAAAGCGCCCCTGACAGATGGCTGCCCATCATCTGCCCGAATGGCTCCAGGGGTGGGGAGCCCCCGCCTCCGTAGGCAGCCGCTTCCACGGAACGACTGCTGTGGCCACACGGAATGTTTTCCTGATGTTCAGCTGAAGCTTTCCGGTAACTTAAGCCTGTTATTTTGTTTCCTGGATGAAAGAGAACAGGTTGTGTTCCCTTTGTGAGTGTGATCATACCTCGTCTTCCCAAGGCTAACCTTGCCCAGTTCCTTCACTGCATGAGACAAGACTTGGCTTCTGGCCTCCTTCGCCAGACCCGTTGCAGTTTCGCTGACCCCCCCTTGGAGCGCGGGGTCTGATACTTGGGGGGGGGGGCATGCAGCTTCCACCTCAGCTTTGCACCTCACCTGGGCCGTCATCTGAGTGGATGGTGTGTCTCGGTGTCCCGCAGCAGCAGGGGTTGGGCCTGGCGGCCTTCGCGGCCCCTTCCCGCTCTGCTATCCTGTGATTCTAGGAAAGCGCTTCGCCTGCCGGCTGCTTAGAGATTCCTCTGTGGTGGGAGATGGAGAGGAACTCCCTGCTCCTTCCCTTGCAGGGCTTAATCATTCCGTCCAGCACTTGACATGTTTGTGTGATGTTTGCTGAGTGTCTGAAGTGCTTCACGCACGTGACGGGATCCTGGAGGGGGGGGGGGGGTGGCCGTGTCCATGTGGGTCTGGCTGCGGACGGATGTGTGGAGCCTCTGCCACGTTCCGTTCTCCTCTGCCAGTTTCTTATCAGCGGCCTCTGGCTGGGGGGGGGGCATGGGCACCCCGCGTCCCCTGGTTGCTGCTTGCGCTGCCTTTCGGTGCTTAACCTTTTGGCCTCACTTCACAATACGGCTGCAGTTGTGCCTTCCCCCTGCCCTGGGGGGGGGGCTGGGGGGGGCCTGCGTGGGGATTCCAGGGGAGGGGGCAGTGAGGGGGACGGGGGAGCGCTGGCGGAGCAGAGGTCACACGGCGTGAGTTTGCTGCTTTGCGTGGCGGAGACAGAGGACAGGTCCCTGGCTTGGCGCAAGGAGCGTGCCATCTAAATTTAGAGTGCAGCGGAAGGCGAAAGAGGCAAGGAGACAACGGCTGGGTGCAGCGCGCTGCTCACATTTGGTGCGGCTGAAGATCGCCTTGAGGAAGGCGGCCTTGTGAAGTGCTTCGCGTTCCCAGAGTGCCGAGCGCCAGGTTGACAAAAGAAGCTCGTTCCAAAGTGCGTTGCCAGCGGGCAGTATCTGCTCTTCGGAGGAAGATGCGAGGCCCCGACCACGGCGAGCCCCTTGCCAAAGGCGAAGGCCACCGTGTCTTCGCAGGCCAGCCGCTGTGCGACTGAGCCTGCCGCCTGCAGTTGCAGCGGCCCTCGCCCTGAGCGCCTCCTCTGCACTAATCTCCCACTAAATGCCTCCTTTGCGTGGCCAGGGAAGGCGCCGGAGCCGGAGTGGGCAGGCCGAGGGGGGCAATGCTGACGGCCACGCACCTTCCACGTAAATCAACAAGCGAGGGTTGCGCCATAGCTGTGGCTCTTCCTGAAATTTTGCAGCGACACAAAGTGTGTCGAAACGCGTCCACGGTCAGTATTTTTCAAACAACTGCAAGAAAACTGGTTTTTCCAGACCAGCCTTCCCCAAACATGTCCGCTCTGCTCCAAACATGTTGGACTACAAGTCCCACCATCCAAAGGTGCAGGGAGTTGGAGTCCAACTTACGGAGGGCACCACGTTAGGGAAGACTGGATGAAACCCACCGATTAAATGACTAATTGCTCAGTGCATGCACTGCGGAGGAATCTGAATATGAGCTCTCCGGTGGTTTAATGAATATGACTCAATTGATTTAAATTCTGTGCACCATGCATACATTCGTTTTTGTGTATGCAACGGTGGAACGGTTGCCAGAAAGATGCAGTTCAAGTCAACATTTTTTAAATATTTCTGAACAAATTTCTGTGGGTTTTGGATATGAAATGCTCAATTTAGCTCAGAATCTATTTTTGATCGTTTGTTTTCAAAGCCATATTGTGAAACTGTAGCATTATAAAACTTAATAAACAAGTACAGAATGGAAGGACACAGAGTTTCACGTGGCCAAAATGTTGCTGGCCTGTAGCTCCTACAAGAGATTTGTTGCCTTAAATGGGAGAGTAACCTAATATCCGCTTGCATATTGAAATAATTTGCATTATTGCAAACTGAAAGGAGAAGCCTGCAGAGCTATTTAGCATATTTTTTTCCTACAAAAAGAAAATTTGGCAAAAATACCTCTGAGCACTGTTTGGGGATTAATGCTCCATCCTGACTGGCCAGATGGAGACATCTTATGCTGTAAATTTCCAGTAATTCACATTGATTAGCAGCATTTGCTAATTAATATATTTGATTCATACCCTGCCTTTCACCACGTAAATGGAGCCCACAGCGCTGAACAATCCTAGGAAATAACATGTTTTGCAATAAAAATTTTGTTAAATGCGCAATGCGCACCGTGCAGCAGCACCAACTGCGCTTACATGCCACAGGCCCGCTGGAATAAAAGCTCGGCAGAGCGGGAGCCAATCTTGCGTCGCATGTGCCCAGAATGTTCGAGGGTCTGGAGCCCATGTTCTGCAAGGAAAAGTGGGAGGGGTGGGCCCCAAAGACCCCCCAAACACATTAGCATAAGGCATGTACTTCCAGTAACTCTGTGTGTTCCCCCCAACTTGGAATAGGAGAGAAAACTGTACAAATGCCAGAGCACAAATGCGGGGGGGGGGCGTGGCCGAGGGGGGCATAGCCATCGAGGGAAGACCCCCCGGCTGGATTTGGCTTCCTGGCCTGAGGCCCTGAATCTGGGAGGATGTAGAGCAAATTTGATGTTGCACAGAGGATAGGGCCAGAATGAGCGGGAGCAGGGGACCAAAAAGAGGGTGGTGGGATTCTGGC